TTCATCTTACCATAAAAACCACCAATTTGTATCTCATATTTTCTCTCCTCTGGATTATTCACATCTGAGTAATTAAAAATATAAACTTTGCAAGCATCAAAGTCATTCGTATGACCAGGTCAATTATTACTACTGAATTCATCAATGGTGTTGATTGGGATTGTAGTTTTGTAGTTGTCGTCAATGAACTTGACCTTTGCGAAATTTAAAACCTTGTTTGATTGAGCTTTTGTGCTGAAATGAAAAATGATTCATTTGGTACAAAATTTTTCCTTAATAAATGTTTATTTTTCAAAACATATAGTCTCTCAAGTTCTGTAAAACAATAATTCACGAAATATGTTAAGCAACTGAGTCGAGTATGTACTAACACAAGCAAAACATGTCGCTTTAGCAAATTGCATAATAATTACAAACTTTGATAAGCTATTTAAAGAAAGAAACCTCATAAAAGTAACATAGCTTGCAAACGCTAGGATTGATGCACAAGATTGATTTATATAACAAATATGACACATAAACTATGACATTTCACCATGAAAATATGACAAAATGACAAATATGACATATAAACTATGACATTTCACCTTGAAAATTTTGATTGCAATCAGTACATACAAAAATATTCAATAAAGTTATCCCTTGTCAAATTGTAACCAGAATAAATTAATTTTGTTTAGGAAATACACAAACTTTTAATATCAAAACATTGTCACACAGAAAGATATCCCCTTATTCTCAGCTGTAATTCAAAAATTACAAGCCGATTGCCATCAAATTCACACATTTGTAAACAGCAATTTTCATAATTTGAAGTTATGCATTAAAAAAATAGGGGATTGATAGTATTATTGATATAACAATAAATTCTAAGCTAAACACAAAGAAGAATAAAAAACTTACCTTGATGTTCATAGTTGTTTTGATTTCGATTTTCTTTTTGTTTTCGACATTTTGCCAATCTCATCAAATATTATGTTTTAATGCACATGAATCGAGCTTGCCAAACGTTTTTTGATCAATGTGAATTTTTCACGCAACAATTTGGTGGTTTATTCCCCACGTGGTTAGAGGTATAAGTATATATACAGTGGTCGCCGCTTAAGAGAATTGCGCTTAATAGAATACGCCGGTTAAATGAATCAAAAATCCTAACAATGATTTTCCCGTATCCTTATACATGTAAAATTCACCGCTTAAGTGAATAAACTTTTCGCTTAATAGAATCAAATTTAGTTTGAAGACGATGTTTACATTCAATGTTGTTGTCGATTAAATACAAGTTTCATTGTCAGTACTTTCTCATAGCACCGTCGGTATTACATGCTCATAATAATTAATTGTGTTAGTGATACAAGTATGAAAAAATCATCAGCTATAGTTCATAGAAAAGGCTTAAGTGTCCTTGAAAAAAAGGAGCTACTAAAAAAATATGATTTGTTGCCAAATTTATCACAAAGTGATGCAGCGCTGTTATTAAACATATCACAAGCTACTCTTAGTAGATTATTATTAAATCGTTACGAGATAGAAAGTACCTCTTGCTCTCACNTGGATAGATATTGACGAATGTCTAGAAACCTCTGGAAAGCCAACAGATGATGACATATGCCAAAAATTGGACACAGATGAATCAGAAATTGAAGAGGAAGATGATAGTATAGAACCCGCACCTAATAATCTAGAAATGTTTAACGCATTACAAGTCTTGAGACGAGGAGTTCAACATCGTTCGAAATCCTTTGAAGAGTACTACAAATTTGAAAAATTTATTTTCAAAATAATTGACCAAAAGAAAAAACAAACCAAGATAAATGACTATTTTACTAAATTATAATGGTGTCACATATGATTTGAATAAATATTTAATAATAAATAATTTATTATATAAATTATATATATATATATATTCATTTATAATAATAAATTATTTATTATAATAATGCATAATTTCTCGGATTCAAAGTTATTTATAAGTTATTGCAATCCCTATCGGATAGTAGAATCATCCGCTTAATAGAATGAAAATTTTTGTCACACAGTGATTCTCTTAAGCGGCGACCACTGTACACTTACAACAACAGTTTTGTAAATATCATTGTAAGAGCCAATCACAGAATACCTATAACATAAGCTGACTGTCTTGAATACTACGTGACCGATGTTTTTACACAACTCTGACATAAGTCTAGATAAAAAACTTCATCGGCGGAAAATTGTTTTTTTCGAATTTCTAAAATTGTAATTGAGAACTATATCGTGTAATTGATAATAAAAAATCTTTTAAAATTTATTACTTTCAAACACCTTCATTTACCGACATTTAAATGTCAATATATGATTCAAGAAAAGGGGCGGGACTACGATTTCAGAGCACATACTTTCTCCACGTGATACATAAAAACATTAGCCTTTCAGAATCGAAATAGTTGAGTTCTCTTAATCGTGTATAAACATGACGTATTGTTATACTGTTTTATTTTAAACTTATTTAGGAGCTACAATTTTGAACATATTTGTTCGAAAAAAATAAAAAATTTACTAGTACAAATTAATAGTGAAAAGCCAGACACATAAATAACACGTGGTAGATTGTTCGTACTGCATGCAATTGATCGTCACATCATAAAAAATTCAACGATGGACCCGAATAATGTAAGTACACGTATTTTTACGTTCAATATTATATTATACGATATGAATCTTAATTGTTTAATTTATTTATTATGAAACATAAAATGTAAGTAATACTTTTTTTTAATAGAGTGACGAAAACTCTGATCACACATTCAATACAGGCTCAAGCAGCCCACTGATAGTGAATGACAGTTCCTTCAGCTCAAATCGTTTAAATTCCGAGACTGATACCAGTAGGCTTATTATATTTTTAATAGAATTTTTATTTACTATCATCCGTAAAATATGGCGAAATTATGGAAAAATTGCAGCAACTGTCGCAACCGAGGGAGAAAGCACTATGAATCGACACCATCGATTTGTTCAGAGAATTCGGAGTCAAGTACATCTGTTAGTATTCTTTCCAGTAATGATTCCACTTTGAACTTGGATTCTACTGATCCAGAGCAATTACCAATAAACGCCGAAAGGATGCAAATCGATGAAGGTTCAGAATTTTTTAATTTTTCCATAAAATCAGATATAAAAATATATAGATTTTGTTATATTTTTATCATGTATAAGGTTTTTAAAATATTTCTTAATTTTTATAGAACTTGAGTTATATCGGGAAAGATTAGATAATGAAGTGCTGGATCGAGAAGTTATAGTTGAGGTAAAAAGAAATAATTTCTGTCACTTTCATAAATCATATTGCAACTTCATTTTTCCAGGATTTCAGTGTCGATGAAACTTTAGAATATTTAGAAGAAATTGCTGACTTTGATGAAGCATTCGAAGATTGCTCTGATTTTGAATGCGATGATTACGATCAAAATAATTGTAATGGAGAAGAATCCCCATTTACCTATCTCGAGAATTTAATACGAAAAGAAGAATTTAATGAGCCCATTGATGGTAACATAATTTTGAGTAAGTCTGAATTATTATTGGGGATTCTAAAATTTAGCGAAAAATATGCATTACCCAACTGTGGAGTGGCTGACTTATGCAAATTATTTAATACAAGTATTGGGTCTAAAGCACTCCCCGATACCAGATACAAATTAGATAAGATGCTTTACCCAACTGCTGGGCTCGAGTTTCATGGTGTGTGTCCACAGTGTTTCATGTATATAAGTACATACTCGCCACAAGATCGTGTCAATGTAAAGGACACTAGTTATAATGAATTTTTCGTAGTTTCCAATTTTAAATTGGAATTAGAGCATTGCATAAATGAAAACTACGACTATTACATGACAGTAATGAACGATTTCGAAAAAAGAAACGAGTTTACAGATATTAATGATGGACAAATGTATTTACATTTTCGTAATAACATTCCAGAAAGTCATAAAAATTCATACGTATCCTTAACTTTCAATAGCGATGGCTCACCAGTTTTTAAAAGTTCCAAATTTAGTGTTTGGCCAATACATGTAGTGCCTAATGAAGTACCAGCAAATGCAAGAAACAGCAAACCCATTCGTCATATGTTATGGTTTGGACATAAAAAGCCTGATATGAGCATCATGTTACAAATATTTATCGATAAAATTAATCAATGATCAAATGAAGATGGAGGTTTAAATATGAACATTAACAACGAAATAAAAAATATAAAAGTTTATGCGATTTGTTGTTGCGTAGACTCAGTTGCACGAGCTCCAATGCAGGGAATTATCCAATTTAACGGATATTACGGTTGTAATTGGTGTTTAGATAGTGGTTCGAGAGTTTTTCATGAAAAACCTTGCGTACATATAAAAATAAAAAATAATTCTTATATGTCCCGCATTCCAAACACGACAATTTACACATAAGTTCCATAATTAAGAATGAAAAAATAAAATTGTATATTATTAAAACACCATTTAATGAACATTGATTTCATTGTCCAAGACCTTAATCGTACTTATCCCTTAATGTATCTCCTAAATTATTCAATAATCGGCATGGAGAATTGTAAATCCATGACGATTCACCGACAAAACCTCGCGGATACGTGGAGCGAGCTCGCGAAACAAGTCCAAGATCCTCGAAGATTTCTGGAAAAATCCTCGTGGATTAATCAATTATCAACGTGGAGAAATTAAAATCCACGACGATTCACCGACAAAACCTGGCAGATACGTGGAGCGAGCACGCGAAACAAGTTCAAGATACTCGAAGAGTTTAAAACCCCATAACTTAGAATTTTTTTCCATCCACGTATGATCCACGTGGTATCTATGTGTGATCCATGTGGAATCGTTGTCCGATCTGCGTGGTATCTATGTCTAATATTCTCGCGGATGCTAATCCACGTGGATAATCCACGCGAATATCCATGCAATTTTTTTCAACTGGGATAATATTCGTATATATTTATTTAATACACAATGGAAGGTGAAAATAATATATACAAAGTATCGAGCCCTTGGCTGAAATCGGGCAGAACCTTACAGGAAGGTTCAATTCCATCTATTTCTAACATCATTAAGTCAACGAGTGGGACTCGTTCCCAAAAAACATTGAGAGAATGGCGAAAGCTCAAACTTGATCTTGCTAAGACCAATGCAAGGAAGTCATATTTGATTGCTTGCCGCTCACATAAGATACTACCCGAAAAATTATTCAGACAAAAATGTGGATCGCTACACTTCTACAGTTCACACTTGAACGATATGTGCCGAAACTTACTTGATAAGGTAAATTCCAAAATCCTAGATTTATTTATTGCTGATGTACACACTAAAGTCGCCCATCTACACAAGCGTCTCAATGGACTACGCACGTCCATCGACAGACTACCGATGTCTACTCAAGCACGCAACGTTTTTCTGGAGATCACCAATTACATGAGTGCACAGGCTTACCACCGGATATCTTCATGTCTGACAAAAAAGTTTGATCGGTCGTTGCATCGAAAAACCAGTGCGCAATTTCAAAATAAAGATCTTTGCAATTCTTGGGTAGTGAATCTCTCGAAGAAGGAGCTACCACCGGAGGTACTCGAAATTGCATCTCTCGGATCTAAACATCTCTTACCGACAAGATGGCGCCAGGAAAATATCGTCAATATGGTGAAAAATGTTGAATCGAGTTTATTTCACACGGGTTTTGAAGACAACATCAAAGACGAAATCCGCAATATAGTTATAAGGAATTATAAGAACACACGTAATAATTCACCTCTTGTGAAACAAGAGGAGATACTACTACGTAAGATGAAATTTACTAAATCCTTTCTTAGAGAGAATTCACACATTTTTTTCACTCGAGCCGATAAAGGCAACGCGACGGTATGTATGGATAAAAGCCTTTACACCAAAAAGATGTCTGATTTACTGAACGATAAGGAGACTTACGAGATGGTAAAACGCAATCCTCTACCAAAACTAATCAAAAACACGAAGGATATCTTACTCGCTTTGGATGCTGACTTGAAAATTCAGCGCACTCAGTTTGAGAGGTCATTAAGTGAAACATCTTTGGCGCGAGCCTATGGTTTACCGAAAATCCATAAGCCCGATGCGCCATTGAGACCAATTATTTCCCTCGTGGGTAGTCCGACTTACATCGTGGCCAAGTTACTATACGAAGAAATCGTTCCTCATGTTAAGCGACCAAGGTCACACATCAACAACAGCTTCGATTTGAAAGAAAAAATGCATAGCATAACCATTCCTCCCGGTTACATTTTCCTATCTCTGGACGTCTCAAGTTTATTTACGAGTATACCGGAGCTTTTGGTCTTAAATGCGTTGGACAGAAGATACACAGAGTTGTCACAGTCTAGATTGTCGTTTGATAAAATACGCAAGATGACACAATTTATGTTCCAGAACACGTTTTTTGCCTTCAATAAGATCTACTACCGACAGAGGTTTGGCACACCTATGGGAAGTCCGATCTCGCCACTGTTCGCAGACATAGTCATGGACGATCTCGAGCAGTGGTGTTGGAAAGAATTGGAGAAGCTGGGCTGTAATGTTCTTTTTTACCATCGTTACGTGGATGATACCATCCTCTGCGTACACGAACAGTACATAAGTTCGGTAGTTCGTGTGTTCAACAGTTATCACCCGGCATTGAAGTTCACTTACGAACAAGAAAATCGAGGACATATCAACTTCCTGGACATGACTCTGATTAACCGTAACGGTAAAGTGTGCACAAATTGGTATAGAAAGTCGACCAACACCACAAGACTCCTCTCCTTCAAGTCAAAACACTCGACCCAACAGAAGATCAATATTGTGTACAACTTGACTGACCGAGCTATTTTGTTGTCTGACAAGAGTTTTCATGCCAGCAACTTAAATATTGTCTCCTGCTTGTTGCATCTCAATGACTACCCACGGAGGTTCATTGACAAATATATAAACATCAGACTACAAGAGATCCAAAGGAAGAGGTCGATTCGTGAAGACGAAGTTTTGTCTGCCAAGATCGATGTGAGACCCTTCACTATGTGTTTGCCAGCGGTAAATACCTTCTTTGATCGGTGCCTAAACACACTGAAGAAATACAACATCAAGGTTATACCACTACAGGACCGATCGATGGCTCCAATCATAAAACTTGGCAAGGATTGTGTGGAACCAATGGATACCGTTGGTGTGGTGTACCAACTACAATGCAACAGCTGTGATACTGGTTACGTGGGCGAGTTAAAAAGACCTCTAAAAACGCGAATAAAAGAACATGAACGAGCTTGTAAGAAAAAAGATCACGATTCAGTCGTTGCGCTTCATACCTTACGCAACCCCGGTCATGATATGAGGTGGGACCAAGTTAGGATTTTAGACAGAGAGACAAAATATTGGCCCAGAATGATCTCGGAGATGATACATATCAATAACCAACGCAATGGTTTGAACAAGAAAGAGGATATTGACAAACTTAACAGAGTTTATTTCAACATTTTAAAATAATTTTAATTTGAGCGATCTCATGTGTATCGATGTTTTTGTTTTTCGTGTATTATACATAACTTTCTCTCAGTTGACATGTAGCCGTTCGCTACTAACAATCGCTCTGATGAGGCTGATAAACTCAGCGAAACGTTAGCGACAATTTTAATAAACTTTGACGTTTTTTTGTTAATATTCGTGTTTGTGTTTCATTGACGCGTTTCATTGGCAGGAACGTTGAAGTTTGGGTGCCACCTTCATAGCCATTAGAAATTATTTAATAAGGAAATATATTCAGTGGTTCAAAAATTCAAAAAAAAATTGCTAATTGAGATACTCTTGATCACTCCGGACCATATATACATCGTGATTCATTAAGGTGCCTCTTTAATTAAACATTTTTTCATACAAGGTCTTGCAATTTTGGGACAACGTTAATTAGTGATCTAATTATCTCCCTGGAAAATTTCAGACCCTGTTGTCGTGCTAATTTTCGAGAAAAAGACCATCTAAAATTGACTTTTTAACACGGCGTATATAGGCGCACATTTACTTTTGGACCCTTCTTATTGAATATATCTCGCCAAATATACCATAAAGCTCTTCCGAAAACTGATAATATAAAGTTGAAAGTATAAGCTTTCGATTGGTACATTAAAAAGTACATGATGACATGCTAATTATTGTAATATTTGCCAGAGAAAGTGGATTTTTATGGTCCGATTGAGGTTTTGTCATCTGATGAAGAGGAGAGAGGACGCTTACAACACTACAGCATAGGGCCCTCGAGTACCATAAGAGTCAAAACAAATTAACTACACTCGTATTGACTAGCCGAGTTAGTAAAGAGTCACTTTAACGGGTAATACGGCTAAAAAGAATTAAAAATTAGATTTTATCCAAAAAATTTTACTTTTTTTTGTTTAAGTAGCTATAACTTTTTTATTAAATATAAATTTGAGCTCAGTTTCTGAAAGGACAAATTGTTTTTTAGGCCTAAAACTACGGAAAAATCGCTCATAAAATCAACAAAAAAATCAAGCCTTTTAGTCGTATATGGGTTAAATGAGAGAAAGTTGGGTAACTGGATAAAACCTAATGTCTCTTAGTTTTTATTAATAAAAAGTCATAAAATGCTTTTAAAAAACAGAAAAGTATCAAAAATACCAGCCAAAATAATCACTAAATATGCCTATTTTTTTAAGAAAAGAATCAAAAAATTCATTCGATCAAATGATCATGATGTATACATAATATTCATTTTTCCCTCTGAATAAAGATTAAAATATTAATTAAAACTGCTGAGTGAAATTTATATATAATTTATTAAAAAATTGTTAGTGTCTATAACCTAAATAACGTTTTGATAAAAATTGATAAAACTCTAAAATAATTTGTAGCAGTTCATTTATTTTGTTTCATAAACTTTTTGATTTTCTACTTTTTTATTTTTTTTATTAAAGATCTGTTTTATGAGAATTAATTATTTTCATTTTCTAAATGTTTATTGAAACTATATATCGAGTGTATGAAAAAGAACCTAATCGTTTGCTACAAAACGTTTACATTAATTTAAAACAAATAAACATTTATTGAACTTTATTGCCAAGTCAAAGATATAATTAGTTTAAACTGGTGGTAACTATTTTATTTTTAAATTATCTATCAAGAATGATGTAAAATAAAAATCTCTAACAATGCTACAAGTTTCTAACAATAGCAATGATATTTGGGTTACAAAATTGATTCTTTTCAATACTAGAATTTTTTAAAACATTTTGTTAGAATACCTTACTCAAGTTACAACGTATACGTAAAATTACTACTAAAAAATTTTAACATATTAATAATGGTGAGTTTTTAAATATTGTATTTTGTTAATAATTAAAATTTCTTCTCACTTATAATTTTTGTTATACATTTTTGATTGCATTTTATGGGCAATAATATCTTATACTTAAAAGTTATTTTCAAATATTCCATGCTAATTAAAAAATTTGTCTATTCAATTTTAATAACATAAACTTTTTATGAATCTGATTAAAGATTTTATTTTTAGTTTTTGTGAGATAAGATATTATTCTAAATCTTCAAACATTCAAATGTTTTAGGAAAAAAATTGTTGATCGAACCTAAAATTTCTGAAATTTAATATCAATAATAATATAATTTAAACGAAAAAATTAAAAATATACATGCTCAACAAAGTGTGTGAATAAAAATGCAGAGAAATAATTCAATACTTTATGGCTCAGAAGGGGCTTAAAATAAAAAAAAAAATTATTTAAAAATTGAATTTTCGAGTAGGATTTTTGGTCCCCTTTCCATTGCATTTTTTAAAACTTCAAAATTTCGATCATTCACTGAAATACAGCTGTTTCCGTGAGCCTTTTTCGTATACTTAAAATTTTTTCTTCTTTTACGTTTTCTGGCATTTTACTTTTTTTGAAAATCTCACTTGTCATTATTGAATGTATCGATCGAGTTACAACACCAGTGTCGCATATACATTTTCAGAACATTTTACGGTCACAACCTCGGGCGAGCTGATCGAACTCATAGTTCCGAAGATCGCAATGGAATGGGGAGGTAAATCCTTTTTAGAAATCCAAGAAAATTTTTTGATTTTTAAAGTGTATGTATCCTCTTAAGGAACTAACTCGATTGAGAGAACAAACGAGTGTTGAGTACAGTAAATATAATAACATGAAATTTCTTACAATGTTTAAATTTTTTATTTTTAACGTACATATATCAGATAATAAGGTTTTATTGTTGAACAATTAGTTCAGTGGCCATCTATAGGAAGCAATGATTTTATAGTTCCATGCGTTATCAATCTGAAAACGATTTTTGACTGTTTTGAACACTTATCTACGAGGACAAGGCGTGCATTTAACGAAGATTTTTTCCAAATTATCTACGTGGATAATCAGGAAAAGAAATTGGGTGAATTATGACGTGGTTTATCCACGTGGATTTCTATTTTTCGAGAAAATCGACTTTAAAGTTTTCTGGGCGATTTTTCCGGATAAAACGAAAAATTTTGGGAAATCTGACCTCACAATCGGAAAATTAAGGCAATTTTCCATCGATATAATGCGTTACTTTTTTACTCTAGGTGTATTTAGTTATTTTTACAGTGAGTTTAAAATTTAGCGATTCGACTGAATCAAGGCGCTGGGAGAGATGACATGAAATTCCGTATAATGTACTTTAAATTTCTACCTTAAAACACGTATATCTTGAGTTACAAAATGAGCTAGAAAAAAGTTTAAAGAAATAAATTAAAGGTCTTTATCTATACTTTTTTTCGCTCACAGCGCAATAGCCCCGCCACTACAGTTTGAATCCGCAAAAACCGATTAATAAGAAAAAAGATGAAATTTTTTGATTTATTTCGTATTTTAACTCGCGTGGAAGCTTTAAAATTCAGTTTTATTGGCTGGAATTGTTTTTTCTTGTTTCTCACGCTAAAAACTAAAATAAAAACCTGTTGCATGCACTATGACTGAATAAAAATTGTCTTATTAGCTTAGAAAAGATTACATGGCACGTCATGATAAACTACAGTACATCGTAAAATGTATATCTCACTACAAGCAAGGTTTAGAAGCTTGTCTGTCGCCTCAAGAACCAAAAGCAATACGTTTTGTTACAATACTTATAAATTCATGTTTTCGGCTGAAATACTTTCGTAAACAATGGAAAGTTGTCAAATCATTGTTATTGCTAAAGCTGGAAAACCATCAAAACTTCTAACGTCATACATACCTATAAGTTTACTACCTATTCTTTCTAAGATCGGTGAAAAGATGCTGCTGAAACGATCAAGACCTATTCAAGATATTGAAGAAAAAAGACTGATACTTGGACATCAATTTAGCTTTCGCGAACAACACTCCACAATTGAGCAGGTGAACCGACTAGTTGTGAGTATACGTAAGGCTTTCAAGGAAAAGCACGTATCTCAACGTAGTCTAGGCTTTCGACAAGGTATGGCACGCTCGCCTGAAGTATACAATTGTTCGAGAAATATTTGAACAGGATGAGCTCGCGGCTTGTACAAACACATGTTCACGTGCTGTGCAAGCATAGGAGTGATTCTCTCTGCGCGGCGAGAGATGGCGTTGCTTCTCGGCACGTGCCGACGGCATCTCTGCTATAGGCGCATTGTTCGCGATTGCGGCCGTTTCGTTTTTGCACTCGCCAAGCAAGCATCTCGTGTGTGTGTCTCGTGCGACGACTACTTTCAACAGAGAAAATCCCGACGTCATCTCAACCAACGCTACTTAGAGCATCATCAACAAGGACTACTCATCAACTCGACAACTCTAATTGAATCAACGAGGACAAGCCAGTCAACAAGGACGTTTCGGCAAGCCTTCTTCATCGCTCCACTCATCGAAGCGGAACTCATCGGTCTGCGAATCGGAGTCAACTCATCGATTGCGACCAGGTAAAGAAACCATCCAGACTGCAATTGAAGACCAATAATGTCTACTGCAGGCCTGATGGAATCTTTTTGTCATCGCCTCAACTCTCGGGATTATGTTGGCGCATCTCAATCGCACGAGCACACGACGAGTAAAGGTGAGGTTACACGTAGCCATGTGCAATATCACGTGATCTCGGCCAACTCATCCGGCTGCTCACACATGTACACGAGAGGATTAATTTAACCTTTTCCGTTGTGCTCCGGTCTGCTCACAAATCAAGTTCAACTCGCTGTGAACTCAAGAGAAGTGTTGCACGTCTCAAGGGCAACAACTCACGACAAATCAGAGTGGATTAATAAAATCAAACCTCGTGTTGACAACTCAAACTTTGTAAAGACTCTTTGATAATCAAGTGTGAATTAATGCAATCTCGCTTCGCGTCGACTACTCAATTTGTTTGTGCAATTATATTGACAACTCAAGTGTAAAATCAATCATAAATTCAGTGTACTCAATTACTTTATAATTGTTATCAACATTTTCAACATATAGACTCAGTTTTTTATTAAAATTAACAGTGATTTTGAGTGAAAATAAAGAAAATTGTGAAAATAGAAATTCCTATGACTCATGCAGTGTTTTCTTTGAGACCTGATCATGCATCCATCCAATTTATTATTAATTGTTTAAACAATTCTCAAACAACAATAAAACTGAATTTTCCTGAGTTTCACTATCAGCTAATGAAATCATATATCGAAAAGAACATTTCAATTGAAAATTAAAAATGAAATCACAAATCTACATGAAATACATGTGGTTGTTCCACAAGGCAGCGTCCTGGGGCCCAGTTTGTATCTTCTGTACACCGCAGATCTGCCATAATTAGTAAACGTTATCACAGCAACATATGCGGATGATAGGGCTTTCTCTGCTCGCACAGCTGTCCTAGAACTGCACGTTCGCGATCGCAGGATCATATACTCTAGGTCGAAAAATGGTAAACATTCTGGAGAATAAAAATTAACGAAACCAAATCTGGATACACGACTTTCACTCTTCGTAAAGAAGTGTGCACAAGCTTGCCTCTAAATTGAATCAAAATACCGCAGAACAATGTAGCAAAATACTTAGGGATGCACCTTGATCAATGCCTCACTTGGAGAACTCACATATGGACCAAGAGAAAACAATTAAACTTGAAAATTCGAAAAATGTTTCGTCTGCTCAGAAGAAATTCTGCACTTACTCTGGATAACAAGTTACTCTTATACAAAAGCATGCTTAAACCAATTTGGACTCATGGTATCCAACTATGGGGTATAGCTTCAAAATCAAACACTGATATAATTGAGAAACTTCAATCTAAATCCTTACGTTGCCTTGTCAACGCACCGTGGTATGTCACAAACGTGGACATCAGGAAAGATCTAAGAATTCCAATAGTTAATGAAGAGATACGCAAAATCTGAGTTAAATACAAAAACCAACTCAAAAATCATCCCAACCAGTTTGCAGCTGGACCTGGAAAAACATCTTTTGAACACTTAAGATTGAAACATCGCGGGGTTTTATGACCTAACTAAACGCATTGCATACACGCTGTATATAAAAATATAAAAGATATTATAAAAATATTAAAATCGTAATGTAAATTTATATTATTTGTTGGTTGTGAAAATGTATAAGAGTGTTGGTCAGTGCACTTTACCTCACACATGTTCCTTTTCAAATTATTTGTAAAAAATTTACCAATTGTCTACAAACTAGACAGATTGTAAATAATAAATGGAATAAAAAAAATTCTTATTCAAGATAAGTATCCGTTGACGTCTCAAAAATTAGTGGAAAATTGCTCTATGGTTGATTATTTGGATAGTTTTAAATTAAGCCACGAAGTGAATCGTGCAGTTTAGAAGATTATTGAAATAAATAAGAACGTGAATTTCTTAATGCATATCTGGATGAGAAATATAGAGAAAGCTTTGAAAAGGGTACAAGCGAAGGACAGTTCAGACTGCAATCGTTCAAATCATATAAATTATATTCAGAATACAGAAAGGTCTTGGGAATGAAATGGGTGAATATGCATGATAAGCTCATTTTCAAATTATTAAAAAATAAATACGATTAGGACCTCTTTTCAGGGAAAAAGAGGCTAACGAAGAGAAATTTTTTGCATATAATATTGGAAATTTTTTCATCTTTTGGGGTTTTTAACTCTTTTCGTGAATCAAGCTCGGATACTAATGCAAAGGCGTGGGCAAGTAAGATTGAATGGGATAGCTCAATAGGCGAAAAAGAGTTTGAGTTTTGTCAACAATAAATTTCTAATTATTCTAGAATTGAATCTTTGTCAGACGATCCCTGTTATCAAAGTTCGAGTATACAGCGGAAAGTTGCAAAATTGCAT